CCCTTTCCCGGGGGGGTGGCAGGGCGCGGGGCGGAACGGGGGTGCAGTAGCTCGGGGGACAGCAGCCTCTCAGCGTCGTTAGCAAGCTGAGAGGAGAGGTTTGCTTGTTTGGGGTTTGTTTTTTTTTAAAGACCGTTGGACTGGAGTCTCTGCTTTCCCGCGCACAAAGAAATAAACACGAAGTGTAATTTGGCTTTGAGAGCATTCCAGTTGTATTTTACGCCAAATATCCTATGTACTTTTCGCTGAGATCTGTCACCCGTGGACTCTCAAGACAGTGCTGCCGCAGTCCGCGGTTCTGTTGCTTTTTTCCCATGTGCTGACACAGAATGTATCCTTTTTTAAAAGATTGAAAAGGCTAAACCTATAAAATGTGGAACTTTTGGTGCTACATCTCTGCAGCAAAGATACTTAGCCACAGGAGATTTTGGTGGAAACCTCAACATATGGTAAGCACGCATATGCTTTTGAAGCTTTTTCATTTGATGCTGTATGTGTCTGTTTGAACTGACGTTTCTGTACGGGGCTCGCTCATGCACAAGATGCTCTCTGTGCCATGTGTGGTTGTTATCCAGTCGTGAGCTTCGCTGGCTACTGTAAAAACAGCACAGATTCTGCAAAACTGTTTAATTCAGTGCTGTTTCACTTGCATCTTCTGTGTGCAGCTACAAAAACCTGTTAAAGTTCTGCTAGGTCCTCTTCTGAAAAGAGGCTTTTGAATGGATGCGTGAGTACCACTCACAGGTTGTGTTCAATCTATGTTTGGCGTCTAGATTAAACACATGTTCTTAACCTTGAAGTTTCAGATGTTTTTTCATGTCACTGAATGATTTGTGTAATTAATTTGTGTAGTTAAATTGATTATCAGATAAAGTTGTAGGGTCAAAAACCGGTTGATGATTATTATGTTTCCCTTGCCAAGGAACTATTGTTCTATTTTGGTGGAATAGCAAGAATGACATGGATTAGTCACTAGTTGAAATTTAAAATAAAATTCTGAAGGATTGTCGAAGGATGAGAATCAGGGGGAGAGAACCATGAAACCCACGGCTGGATGCAGCTTTCATTTGAAGAGCAGTAGTCAGAGCTAGGTGGGGATCAGTGAAAAAGGTCATTTTACAGACTTAGTGAAAGTAAAGCTAATTGGAGTATTTCAATCCATAGCGTGATTCATTCTGAGCCCAACATAAAAACTGGTTCTTAAGGGTTGCTGTGGTGAACCCCACAACTGCCTTTACAAACAGGGAATCCCAGAACTGAGCAAAAACCTTCCGACCAGTCTAACGCAGTAGCCAAAGAAGGAATCGAACAAAGACTTGTGGTTCTTAATGGTGATATCCATGTTTTGTTCCTAGTGTTATTCTGAGCTTATGTAATTTGTGCTCAAATTTCCTCTCATTTTCGTATGAATCCTGAGCGTCAAGGAAAATGCCATATTATCTGTTTTTTTCTTTCTTGCCTAGGAATTTAGAAGCTCCTGAAATACCAGTGTATTCTGTGAAAGGTCATAAGGAAATCATAAACAGTATAGATGGTGTAGGTGGCTTAGGAATTGGGGAAGGTGCACCAGAAATTGTGACTGGCAGTCGAGATGGTGAGTTAGTGAACTCTGAAAGTCTTTTCAGTTATTCTGAGAAATTAGTCTGCAAGCTTTGATGGCAGGGCACAGTCTGCCATCTGAACTAGTTACAAATCTGCTGCAACTAGTTCTTCATACGCTGCCTTTTGAATCTTGCTTGGGACAAATTTTCTCTAATTCTTTTAGAAGCTGTAGGTAAGCAAAAGATATTGTTGTCACTGAGCGTGGGACAGAAGGAATATGGAGCAGAATAAATGCAAAATATCACCTAGAGAAAACATCCTTAAGAAATGCTTTATTTCTGTGGGGTTTTTTTTTCTATCTGCTAAACGCAGTCTGGCTTTCTGGAATTGGAAGAGGTGCTC